TCTTGATTCTGTGCTGCCCAACCTCTCAGGCACAGAGCCAAGGATAGATCAGGAGGAACAAATGAAAGGTTTTCTGCACAGGTTCCCTGGAGCCAAAAATCCTGTAGCTACCAAACATTTTCCTTCATTTTGTATTTCAGTATTTCTTGGCCTTGAGCTCCAGGACTTCCCTGAGAACCACATCACGATTATACCTTGTCTATCCCTGATTCCTCAGTCTCAATGAAAACTTTTGTGATTAACAATAGTTGTCTTAAACCTATACAAATCATTCTTTATGCCTCAATAATTTAAGCTTGTAATAATAATAATATGGAAACGGCTGTGGGGTTTTCAGCAACTCTGCTTGTTTTGTAACAACTGTCAACATGCCTAATTCAATGTCATTACAATCAGAGAATGTGTTTCTCTATCCATGTTATTTCTGTATTCCATTTGCTTGTTTCCTTCCTGCAACTTTCAAAAGTAATCACTGCCATGAAGAAAGACTTGAATGAGAACTAGTCGGCTTGATTCACTCTGACTTTAATCCAAAGCTGTCACCTTTATAAAACAAGTCAAATATAAGAGGGAACCTCCTTTCCTAATTATTTACCATTATGGTGTGTTTCCCAGCTTCTCCTGTTTTCAATGATCTCCTACTTTTCAAAACAACCACCATCACATACGTCAGATTTAATTTTTTCAGCAGTTATTTGATGTGTACCACGTTTTCTCCCTTTGTAAACTACAAGATCCCTGAGGGAAGATGATACATATAGTATTTATTCAGAGATCTATTAAGGTTCCAGAAAATATGCCTTGGTTGATTAATTCTCCAGTAATGTACAAGTTCCAGTAACCAGCACTGATAGAACATTTTCTATGTACCTAGAATTCTGACACTGTGGAGTACTTTAGAGCACAAGGTATGCTTTACCTCAGGACAGTGGACAATATTAAACACAGAGTCTTTCTACATCACTGTTATTATTATTCTTGAAGGTTGAATGAAGGAAGGAAATAGATGGAATACAAGAAAAAGTAGAGGGATAGCAAATGTGTTCCCTGTTTGTAAAGACATGGCATTACCATGTACACAGCTGTTAGTCACAGAGTAAGCAGGGTTGCTGGAAAATCACTTGATCATTACCCATTACCTGTATAGGGCTGCCTCTATACCATAGATATATCTGGCATTTAGGTATTTAGATCATCTCTGTCCTTTTATAGATGATTCTGTAAATCTTTTGCATAGTAAGCCAGCTTGATCTGGGTAATAATATGTGTATCATAGGAGTTGTAAAGAGATACCAAATACATCCACAAACACCTGCTAGGGACTGAGAAATACAGAAAACTTCATGACCAATTAATTACAGTCTCAAACTATGAAACTAATGCTATACCAGCTTGTGGTTCTTCCCCAGAAACAGTAATCAATCTAATTTTAAGAAAATTTTAATTAATCTAATTTTAAGAAATTTTAAGGAACCATTTTTCTTCCTGCATATGTATGTATACACATTTATCTCTCTTCATTTCATTCTGACCCTGCTGAAACAATCTTTGAATTAAACAGAAGCACTTTTTTTGGCCCAAGATTTGGCAGCAGTGTGCTTTCAAGCAAATCACATTTGAAGACAAAAAATTCTGAGGAGAGTGGTAGGGAGCAACTGTACTAACATGGTGATTACTGGGCCAGTATTCCCTAAGGCAATCAAAATTGAATGCAGTTGGGTTTGTTTCAATAAATGTAGTGAATTAACCATATTTATAAATAGGCTTTTCTTTACCTATCTTGGTAAGACTTTATGGAAAATACTATAAACACAAAACTAAATTTTTTTCAGAGTTATATGTCAGTAGTGATTGTTATAAGGTTCATACAACATGAATATTAGAACACCACACCCTACCAACATCACCACCACCACCATCATTTGAAAATTCAAATTAGATACTTAACCCATGAGAAGAAATGTTTTAAGTGCTGGGAATGTGAGTTTTAACAAAACAAATAAGGAAGTCTGAAGAAGGTTTTATTCTAATCTGTGTAGTTGACTCCATCTTTTCTCACAGAAAGATAAACAAATTCAGGTATGTTAACTCTATCTCTGCTCCTTCTACAGAACCACAGAATTGTTCTTGTTTGGCTGTCAAATGTCACCCCAAAACTTATGTGTTGAACAGTTGGTCCCCAGTGCAGCACTGTTCAGAGATGGTGTCTTTAGGAAGATGATTGGATAGTGAGGGCTCTGATCTCGTCACTGTATTAATCCATTAATAGGTTCATAATTCAACTGACTATTGGAAGGTGGTGGAAACTGTATGAAGCTGGGTCTGTTTGGAGGAAGTAGGTCACTAGGAGTATGCCGTACTAGGGTATATCTTGTTCCCATCCCTTTCCTCTCTTTCTCTGCTTCTTGGCCACTATAAAGTGAGCAGCTTTGCTCTACCATGCACTCTCTACCATGATGCTTTCCCCCACACAACTCCAGAAACAATGGAACCAGCCAACTGTGGACTGAAACCTATGAAACCGTAAACCAAAAGAAATCTTTTCTAAGTTTGCCGATGTGTTTTGTCACAGCAATGGAACACTGATTGAGGCAGAACCTATAGTATTATCCAAAGCAAGTTCTGGAAATGGATCTTTCACTGCTGCCTTCCCTGATAATTCACTACCAAAGCCCAATCTTGGTCCTGTCCTGGACTTGCTGCTGTTCCTGACACAAATATATGTTCTAGCTGCACCTTCTGGGAAAGTGTGTACTCTCATTGTTCGGACTGTGTGATGGTTCATTTAAGGTGTCAACTTGATTGGAAGATGGAACAGCTAGATAGCTGGTAAAGCATTCCTTCCAGGTGTGAGGATGTTTCCAGAAGACATTGGCCTGTGAGGTGATGAACTAAGTGGGGAAGACACTGTATCTCTCTGGCTCTTGGAGGTAAGACACTCTTCTCTCGCCCGTGCACATCAGAACTTCTGCCTCTGTCTTTGAATTTCAGAACTTCTGCCAACACTGCCTCATCTTCCCCCTCCAGGTTCTCAAGCTTTTCACCCTGAACTAATAATTATATCAGTTTTTCTGGTTCTGAGACTTTCAGACTTTGAGTCTCACCCATGTTACCAGCATCACAGGGTCTCCAGCTTTCAGACAGCCTGTCCTTCACCTTCTCATACTCTATAGCTACATGAGCCATTTGTCCTCTTATCTGCCATCTGTCTTTCTGTCTATCTATGCTATTGGTTCTATCTCTGGAAAACCCTGACTAATCCAGAGCAGAAGGCTGTTGTCCTTGTTGCTTGTATTGCTTTGTGGCTACTGGAGCTGAGATTTGAAGATAGTATGAAGGTAAGATGGGGAAAGGAATCATTACAGCTGAACTGTCAGTGCAGTGGCTCCAAGTCACATATGGCTATAAACTTTAAGATTAGATAAAATTAAGTTTAGCTCCTCACGTGGGGACATACTCTACAGCACAGCAGTGGCACACTGCTGTCATTGCAGAACATTCTTCTGGACAGCACTGCAGTATAGTATGTGAGTAACCCTGCTGGTAATCTAGCCCCATGGCTCAAATTTTCTTAGTATTCATATAAAAAACAGTTTATATGCTGCCTTTCATCCTTTTTCTTGACTATGTCTCAAAAGACTAACATGTTTATTAACAGTTAATGATTTTACACGCTCTTTGGTAGAAAGTTTGTTCTTAAATATTACCTTGGACACTAATTAGGTAAGATTTTAAAGTGAGAACACATTGGTATTGTTAAGGTTAATGGCTTAATCCTTCATCACAGGAAAAAATTTCCAGAGCTTATTGTAAAGAGTTTTATTGGAGCACAGGGAATGCACTGTTCTATTATCCACTAGCACTGTCTATTATGCTTTCTTTAGAATGTGCCATCTATATGTCCTTTGAGTAACTGATACTTAGAAAATGTTCCCACATGTTAACATTTCTTCTCAAGAAGGTAAACTGCCAATAAAAGAGAGGTTATTTTCTTTGATAATTCTAAAATCATCAATATCCAGACTTGCATTTTAATCTTTTTCATGGAAATTAACTTAAATATGTATTTAAGAATTTTTGACAGGATAGATAATAAATAAAAACTGTTGATGGAACAGCAAAATGTAACCTCACAACTGATTGTTACAGTAACTCTAATTCTTAAATCTATGTAATTCAAAAATTTTCAAACACCTGATTTTGAAGAGCAGAGGTTTAATAAAGAAGAGTGGCATTAGATTAATAGTTTAGAATGAAAGGAGCTGCTTTAGGTTGATTTATAAATCCCCCTCTTACTGTTTTCTCTAAAGAAAACTATGCTTACACACAGAATACATATGACATATTAACTGTGATGGAAATAGCAGGTGCTTTTGAAGCTATGGCTGGTGGTCTAGATGAGCAAAACTGACCAGACATCAAACAATAAGTAGTAGTTTGGAGGACAGAAACGCACTGGATGGTACAGGTCCCCACCAAACCTATCTCATGCATAACACATCCTAGGCACTAATGGCCAACTTATGACCTCTTCACCCCATAGCCCCCATCATTAGGGTAGGTTTTTGTGCCAAAAAAACAGAAGGAAATACCTAGAAATGGCTTGTGAGAGTTCAGGATTTTAAGACTTACTAATAGCTACTAACAGGGGAGGACAGGCTTCATTGATAGTTATTAACAGAGAAGGCTCCATGAGGAGAACCTGGGGGCACAACAGCACTACAAGGAAGATCCACAAGGGGCGCACTCTCTTCAACAGCACCACTCAGCAAAATCCCCAGAAGGCTGCGCACTCCACAACAGTACTCCTCAACACACCAGTGATGATGAGCTGGAAAAGTATTCACCTGAAAGCAATCAGAGTGTCAGGGGTGGCCTCTCAGTGGTCCTCTTCTCTGTCCCTAGTTACTGCAAGAAAGAGATTTTATAGGTTAGACATATATGCAGTGACATCATCAGCTTGCTTTGTTCCTTTGTACTACCAGAATTCTAAGGAGCAGGTGACTTAGTATATGGGCAAGAAGGCAAGTGCTACAGGCAACACCAGTTTGCCAAGTTCCCAGTGTCTCGCAGGTAACATTACCCTGATATGGTTACCGTGTCCCCTGGAAGTGATAAAAGTATTGAGAACACAAAATGGACATTTCAAGGACATGGTACTAAATGTTCTAGTTTTTCTCAGGGATGATACGTGTGTCAAGCACAAAGATAAGAACAAATGATATATTCATGAAATAGTACTAATTGTTGGTTAATGCAATAGTCAGAATAACAGTCTTGCACCTAAAATCTTCACATACTAAACCAAAGAACCCATGAATGTAACAAAAGGAGATGAAGGTTGCAGGTACACTTAAAGTGGCTAATTAACTGACCTTAAAATAACACATCGTGATTATTGTGAATTATCCCAATGTGCCTGAGGTAATCCCAAAGGTCGTTAAAGGAGGAGGAAGGAGACAGAAGAGGAGCTAGAGCCAACCAGTCATGGAAGCAGGGCGTCAGAGAAATGGTGTGAGCAAGTTGTGCCCAGCCATTGCTGACTTCAAACATGAGTGCACAGAGCCTCAAGCAGGGCAGGTGGTGGCCTCTACAAACTAGAAAAGGCAAAGAAAGTGATCCTTCCCTTAAACCTCTAGAAAGGAATACATCTCTAACAATGCCTGGTTTTATCCCCTCTAAGGTGTATATTGTAATGTAATGAATATGTATTGTTCTAAAACACTAAGTCTATGATAGCTTGTTACAGTAGCCACAGAAAAATAACACTATTGAGATGACTGTATTTATTTTTTTCTTGTGATTTATTACAATAAGCAATTATTAACTCATTGTAATTACTGCTCCTAAGCATCATCAAATACTCAGTTTTCAATATTGGTGAGGAAAAGAAAGAAAAATTTGGAATGTTATCCAAAGGAAAAAATGTTTCGCCATTTTAAAATCATGTCTCAGGTCTCATCTCCAATGATTTGCTTATTTTAAAAATTATTTACCCAATTAAAATTCACTTGTACTTGGAACTTGGTGCCATAAAAACATTCACTTACTACTGGCTCTCTCTCTCTCCCAGGCACAAGCACAAGCTTGGTACATGTGAATTTAATTAATAGCTATTAAATAAAACGAGACTGCTGGGATTATCAGACTAATTGTTGACCAGCAGTTCTATTGCACTTGTTTCAATGCAAATTTCTCCCCTGCTCTTGGGTCAAGGTAATCAAGCTCTTCTTTATCAGAAATACTTGGAGAATATTTACAAACTCTAAAAGTCACTCACTGGCATGACAATATTCCTCAGAAAGTTAGATTCTGATGTTTATGCTTCAGGATTGCAAAGGGGGTTGATGGACTTGCTTGTGTTTATTATTTTCTAAGTGTCTGTGGAGAGGAGGAACTGATAAAATTAAAAAGAACTGGTTATCCAAGACAGCCTTTTTATTGGTGTATATTGTGATATAGAATTCTGAGATTCACTTTGATGTATTGGTTCATGCATAAAACATATTTGGATTATTTTTAAATGTTATGGTTTTGTCTAGATGTGCCCCCAAAACCTCATGGCCATAGGTGGGGCTTTTCAGAGGTGTGTGATGCTGGGATCAAAGGTGTGTGATTACTAAATTATCCCACTGATTGGTTTGGCATAGTTCTGGGTGTGGATAATGGAAAAGCCCAGCTTGGATGTAAGTGCTACACTGCCTTAGGGCAAATAGGATAGCTGCTGTCACTGCTCTTTGCTTGCTTTTGCTTCTGCTTTGCTGCATTCTGCCCATCATGAACTGTTTCTCCTCTGCCATATCACCCTGCTCTAGAGCCAACTGTAAACTGAAACTTCTACAATGTGTAAGCTACAATAAATCTTTTCTCCTTTAACTTTGGATGATGGGTATTTTGTCTCAGCAATGAGAAAAGTAACCAAGACACTGCTCTATCCCTTTCCTCCTTCTTCCTCTGATCCCATTCCCCATCTCCACCTTTCCTGCCTTCTCTTTTCCTTCAGTTCCCCATCTCTACCTTCTCCTCATATCTATCTTCTAATTTCTTTCTTTCTCTCCCTTAGTTACTTATTTTTAAATTTACTTTTAGATTGCTTTGGTAAGAGAAATATGATGCATTTAACTTTAGGAGACTGACTTATTTCACTTAACATGACAGTCTCCTATTCCATCAAATCCTCTACAAATGATTTTTGTTTGTGCGGCTGACTAATATTCAATTGTGTGTATATACAGTGTTTTCTTTATCCTCATCCATTGATGGATATCTAGGCTACTTCTGCAGCTTAACTATTGCAAACTACACCACTGTAAACACAGATGTGCGTGTATCACTCATATGCTGTCTTTAATTCTAGCAGGAATATTCCAAGGAATGGTAGAGCTGAATCAAAATGTCACTCTACCTTTAGTTTTTTTTCAGAAACTTCTATACTGATTTCCATAGTGGTTGTACTAGTTTACTTTCCCAACAACAGTGCAGGATGGTTCATGTTTACCCCATATCCTCATCAATATTCATTGGCTTTTATATTCTTGATGACAGCCATTCTGACTGGAATGAAATGGAATCACAGTATAATTTGGATTTGCATTTCCCTAATGGCTAACAGTGTTGTATATTTTTCATATACTTGTTAACCCTCTGTACTTTTTTGAGCATCTTCTGTTCAATTCAATTGCCTGTTAGTGGATTGGGCTATCTGATTATTTTGGTTTAACTTTTTTGAATTCTTTACATTTTCTAGATATCAATCCTCTATGAAAAATGTAGCTACAAAAGGGTCCCTCCAATTATGCAGGTTCTCTCTTCATTCTGTTTATTGCTTCCTTTTTCTGTGCAGAACTTTTAATGTGATGTAGGCTCATTTATGGATCCTTGATATTCTTTCTAGGGATCATGTTCAGGAAGGCTTTGCTTGTACCTAAGTTTCCCTAAGTTTCCTTCCAGCAGTGTAAGTTCCCTGTCTCATACCTTGCTCTTTGGTTTCATATAGGGATAAAGACAAGCATCTAGTTTCAATCTTCTGTATATGGATATCCAGTTTTCCAAGCACCATTTGTTAAAGAAGTGTATTTTCACCAGCCTCTTTTTTAAAATTTTTGGCTCTTTAGTCAAAAAAAATCAAATAGCTGGAGGTACTTAAGTTAGTTTCTGTGTCTTATATTCTGTTCCTTTGGTCTGCATGTATATTTTTGTGCTAGTACCATACTGCTTTTTTTAACTAGAGTTTCATAGTATAATTTGAAATTGGATATTGTGGTACTTCCAGGTTTGCTATTTTTCCTCAGGATTGTTTTGGCTATTCTGAGTCTTCTGTACTTCCACATGAATTTTAAGATTGTTTTTTCTATTTCTGTGAAGAATGTTATAGGTATTTTAATAGAGATAGCATTGTGTCTGCAGTTGGCTTTTGGTAACATGGCCCCAAGATAGCTTTTAGATGAAGAATCTGACCATGTAGATAGATAGACTGATTGAACTCAGTATTAAAATAGAAATTTCTCTATTGGGTATGGGTTGTCCTAGATCTGGTGTAGCAAAACAATCCTAGAAGACTCCCTCTTACTACCAGACCATCGTATGTTCATGACAAATTTCTAGGATTCTTACTTTGCTTCTGCCTCTCCCTTTCTTCTACACTTCAGGCTCTTTTTTTCAATTTTGAGTTCTATTAGCGCACAATAGCGCTTCCTGCACATTACAATCATCTTGGGGAGTGGTTTCATGTAGATGCTGCAGCTTATTACTTTTTATTTTTAATCCCCTTCCCCCCTTTCTCCCTGCTGCTTTAATTCTACCTGATTTTTTGTTCTTGTTGATATTAGTAATCTTAAAGAATGGCAAATAGTGTTTACCTTAATTGAGGTTACTAGGTTGATGTACATGAAAGATCTTTATTCTATTTATTTTCCCTTCCCCTCCCCCTCAGCTGTCCTACTTTTTCCCTCAAGAAACTAATCTCTTTGTTCCCTTCTATCCATCCTTTATTATTCTCTGTGTTTGTACTTTGCCTCACTCAAAAGAGGAATGCCATATGGTATTTAAGCTTGTATGATGGTTTATTTCACTCAACATTATATTTTCCAGGTGCATCCTTTTCCCTTCATGTGTCTCAAATCTGTCATTCTTTATAGCAGAGTAGTATTCCATTATACAGAAAGACCACATTTTCTTTATCTATTCATCTGTTTATGGCTATACAGGCTGCTTCCAGGATTTAGTGACTATGAGTTGTGCTGCTATAAATACTGGTATGTATGTATTGCTGTACTATGATGTCTTAAGCTTTGGGGGAAAATATCTAGCTGGGGGATCACTGGGTCATACAGAATTTCTAGTTTCAGTTCTTTGAGAAATCTCCATACTGATCTCATAATGGTTGTACTAGTTTACATTCCCACCAATAATGAAGGAAGGGTTCTTTTTCCATGATAGCCTAACCAGCATTTATTATTGTTTGCCTTTTTATTGACTGCCATTCTCTCTGGAATAAGAATGTATTGTTTTAATTTGTATTTCTCTAATGACCAGAGATGTTGAGCCTTTTTTCATATATTTGTTGAGCATTTGTATTTCTTCCTCTGTGAAGTGTCTGTTCATTTCTCTTGTCCATTTTTTGACTGGATCTTTAAATGTAGATGGTTTATTTTTCCAGTTCTTCATACATTCTAGATAATAGTACTTCGTCTGAGTAGCTGGCAAATTTTTTTTTTCATTCTGTAGGCAGTCTCTTCATTCTATGATTCTTTTGTTGTACATGTGGTTTTTAGTCAGATGTAACCACACTTGTTTGATTCTTGCTGTTACTACTTGTGTAGTTGAGGTTCTGTTTAGAAAATCCTTTCTTAAACTTACCTCTTCAAGGGTTTTACCTACTTATCTTCCAGTAGATTTAATGTTTCTGTTTTAATATTTTGATCTTTGAACTATTTTGACTTTTATTTAGTGTATGGTGAGAGATAAGGGTCCAGTTTTAATCTTCTGCAAATGGACAGCCAGTTTTTCCACTTGTTGAACAGGCTATCTTTCTTCCAACATATACTTTTGGCTCCTTTGTCAAAAATCAAACA